CTTTAAAAACTGTTATTTTTCTTTTGATCGAAACATTCTCGTGTTCCCGAAAAAAAAAGAAATTGTACTCTTTCGCACACTGTAAAAACGTTACATTTAACGTCAATTCTGATTGGACGTTGAAGTAAAAAGTCATTTACATTGGTTCTAATTGGCATTCGTTCTTTAACAAAATCTGTGCTCAAAAATCGCAATAAGTCGATTCCATTCAATATTCTTATTTATATGAATACGTTTGTGTGTGTGTGTGAAACGCAGAGATATTATTAGTTATAAAGGGCTTCGTTGTTAATGACTGGGGTCCAGCTAAGTAAGAAAACTTTGGCGTTACTCCTTATCGAAATTCTTTATTATCGAAACTCGACCGCGATCGATATTCAAAGCTAAACAAAGTATTCCTTTTATAGAGATTTAAAAAAATTTTAAAATTATGATATAATTATGATGAAACAGTCAATTAATTTAAATCAAATCGAATAATACACATGTTAAATCTACAAAATCGAGCGTACGTGATTTCTGTCATTAGTTTTTCTACGAAAATCAAAACGAAATTAAAAAAAAAAAAAAAAGGATTGTGTGGCGCCGTGCATGAGATGAACTTTGAACTCGTGGTAATAAATAATTCTACGATAATTAAAATGATTTCATTTCAAAACTGAAAATCATCATTATTCAAAGATTAATTTTGACACGAATTTTTTCAACTTGCTGCATACTAAATATTTTTCCAATTTTATTTTTAACATTGAAATAACGATTCGAAGACAACCATATTACGTGGGAATTTCTTAAAACTCGTCTTTTTTTTTCTTCTACAGATTTTTACAATTTATCTTCAAGATGGAAATAACGATACAAAAATCATCACGACGACACGTTAACGTTTTCAAAGATGAAACGTTTAATTTTTCTCAGTTATTGTAGCGTTAAAAGTTTGCGGATTTCTAGGATATAGAAAAATCCTTGAAAAGAGAAAGAGAGAGAGAAAAAAAAGAAAAAAATAAAGGAAAAAGAAACACCATACAACGATCCAGGTTTAGCTATCGCTAAATCATCGAGGTTATATCCCACAATACCTTCTTTTTTTACAAAATACGTAAAGAAGAAGGAAAAAACAACTCACAAAGCATCCTTTTGTTCGCATTCTTCTTTCATGAAAGAAGAAGAAGAAGAAGTGAAGATGAGTTCGGAAAAACGTTTCGAATAGCCTAGCTGCCGAGAGTTAACATTTTGTGCGCATTATTCAGCGCCTTTGCGTCACTCGAAAGGAAGGGAAGGTCGATTGGAAGAAAACGAGAAGGAAAAAATTGAATTACAAACAAAAAAAAAAAGAAAAATATTATAGAAAAGGAAAGTTGAACAAAAATGATTGATATATAACTGAATGAGAGAGAGGAAGGAAAGATTAATACCTTTGGCACTAGAAAAGAATTCGAGTGACTCTTGAAGGTACTCACGATGAGTAAACACACACACACACACATATACACATAGATCGAGAATTGCCTAACAATCAATGGAATCCGATTACAGTTATCATGATTGCGAATAAGTTAGTATGAAATCCTTTAACCCTCTTTTAATTTCTCATTTTGTCACGATACGTGACTTAAGGTTGCGTGTATATCGTACTTGTAAAAAGTTACACGTTGATACATCTAGATACGCTAAGTTTTCTCGTTCTCGTAATAGGATACCCAACCATTGCATGCTACCTGTCGTTCTAGAAACTACATTTTTTCTTCGAAAAAAATATAGAAGAAGAAGAAGAAGAAAAAGAAGAAGAAGAAGAAGAAGATGAAAAAATGAGGCGAACATAGGAGAAAAACTGCATTTAAATGATCATGCTCGAAAAGATATTTCTTCTTTTCTATGACAAAAAAATTTCTTCGTCAATTTTTACAATACATTACATTGAAATATTGTAAATATTTTCTTTTTCGATTCTATCAATTTATTTAAAGCCCGCATTCTCGTAACTTTTAACAAAAATTTATTCTATCTGGCCACGCTCTTCGATGATAAAAAAAAAAAATAAAAATAAAATAAAAAAAAAAACATATACATAATTCATAAAACTTTCCTATCCAATTTTGTTTTTGCCCTCTGAATAAAAATATGAAAAAAAAAAAGAAAAAAAAATCCAAATGTTGAATTCTACACATTGTTTTATTACATATTTATTAAATAAATATTTCCTTCCTATCGTTATCGATATATTTGTATCTACACTCTTGATGCATTTGCTCTCCTCCTATTCCTCTACCTCCACCATCACTAACCACCATCACCCTTCTCCAACCCTTTCAAAATATTCTACAAATTTTGTTATCAACAATTTTACAAATATTTCCCTTTTCGATTTAAATGAAATCTCATCGATTTATTTACAACGTTTCTTATACGAATTGGGGGGTACGAGTGTGAGTTTCAGTTCGAGAAGATAAAACGACCGAGTAAAGTGGAAAGAACAAGAAGAAGAAGAAGAAGAAGAAGGAAGAAGAGGAGGAGGAATAGGAAGGGAAGGAGAAAAAGAGGGAGTTTGTGGGTCACTTGAAGGCGCGTTCCACTTTCTCCTTTCTTCGGTTTTTCGTCGGAGGTCCATGACCTCTCGATTGAAGACCAGTCGTCTTCTTGAATCGACCCTGCTTTATTACCTCACAGGAAGTTGTAAACCTGCTTTCATCGGCATATCCATTCAATCAAACGATCTTCGACAAATTACACAAATTACATCGACCCGTGACCAACTTTCGATCGTTATGGTATTACTCTATTACTATCCAACCTTCATCTTTCGATAAATAAACTGAACGATAATCTTAGCTTAAAAGAAGACGTAATAAGAATAAACTTTAGTACAAAATGATCCAAATATTACAAGAAGAAATTATTTTTTTATAATTAAATTTTAACATTCGATACGAATTACTTGCATAATAAATTAAAAAATTAAAAATCAACAAAAATTTATCTCTAATACTTTTCATTAATTCAATTCAAACAAATCCTATGTAATAAAATATCTATAAATGAAAAGAAAAAAAAGGAAAAATAAACATCGTCTCGCATTTTTTAAAATCACTGGGAGAGATAGTTAATTCGAGTTAATCCTAAAAAATTGTTTGGTTAATCTCTCGTGATCGATAAAAGAAAGAGAGAAAGAGAGATGAGAGAAAAAAAAAAGAAGAAAAAACACGGAAAAAGGAGAGAAAGTAACGTAGCAACCGGATTTAACACGCAACACGGTGGGTGGAAGGAAGGAAGGAGGTGGGGGGGGGAGTTAAGGGTGTTAGGGTAGAACGTAGGAGTGAAGGGTAGGAATAGGGATGATCAGAATAAAATAAATGATAGAAATTCGAATGAGAGCCTCTGCGGACCATTAGGAAGCCAGAAACACTCGCGAACTATACAAGCGCTAATCGATTTTCGCGATCGGAACGCGGGACCGAGAGAAACGAAGCTTTACGAGGGATTACTACGATTATCCGAATAATTACCTCGGCAGTTTTGGGGATAGCCGAAGAGATAGACAACGAAAGGGAGGGTGTATGGGTGTGGGTGTGGGGGGGAGTTAGGCTTGGGCTTGGAATGGTGGCAAGTTTGGTAGGGTAGGGTTGGGTAGGGGTTGGTTAGTTGTAGGTACGAGAACGAGGGAGGCAAATAAAGCTGGCCTCGGTCGTATAGGCGCCACGACCACCTCCCTCCCTTCCACCAATTCCATCTGTGTATTTAGTTCCACCATTTGTCATTGACCGTATAATCGAGATCAGCTCCCAAAATACCCCCTTCCTCTCCCCTAACGCTTAAATCTAAACATATTCTAAACATATTGTAAATTTTTCCAACGAATTTTAACGATGCAATTTACCTAGGGTTAGGTGTAGGTTAGTTATTTATACTGTGGTTTAATCATTATTAACGTTTAATTTATAAAACTTTACGTTCAATAACAAATATCAAATTTTAACGAAACACCTAACATCGATATTATGCGAAAATTTGAAAATAAATTAAAAATTTTCAAATCGAACAATAAATTCAATACCGACGATTATATATTTATAAACGATTATATGTATATTATATTATATATTATAACCTGAAGCACACACAATCCTAACATGGATATTATGCGAGAAGTTAAAAATAAATTAAAAATTATAAAACGAGGCAATATACGATTATATACATATTCTATTAGACCTATATTACATACTATCCTCTCCCTTTCTCTATATTTTTTACAAGATTAGATAAGATAGTAAAAGAACATACCAATGGAACGCAAACAAGTAACATTACACAACAGTAAAAAAAGAAATAAAGAAAAAAAACAAAACATCATAAAATTCTTTACTTCCCTTATTTTATCTTCTTACAATAAAAGATAAATATTGAGATAAAAATAAAATGAGATAGTAAAAAGTGTTATCTCTATTGACACGTGTGTGTGTGTGTGTATGTGTGTGTGTGCATGCGTTAATTATCGATAAGATTAAAGATATAAACGATTGCATCCTTCGTAACGATGTTATCATACCGGTGCAAAGGTAATAGAATATATCAACAAAAGAAAAAAAATAAATACGTCATGAAAAATATAAGACAGAAAGATAGAGGGATTAGGATTAAAAGTGCAGGTGTCGAAGTAGGAAAATATTTCAAACTCAACATAAAAATGATAAGAATCTTTTCTTCCAGATGCAATTTTCTTATCAGGGGGAGGGTGAGATAAGGAACGGCTCTTATTCGTAATACATTCAGCTATAAGTTGAAGGAGGAAAACCTTCCTCGACAACTTCCAGGAACCCTTTGATGCTTATCGCTTTCCAAGATTGTTCAGAAGGGGGGTGACACGGTCGAAGGAACACGGCGCACGCCATAACACACCATGGTTGGGTGTTCGTTCGTTAGAGGGGGGTGAGCAAGAAAGAGAGGACATATATAAGGTAGAAAAAGGAAGTTAAAAAGGGTAATAAAAGAGAATGACTCACCAAGTGTCTTGCAGCTTGCACCGCGTAGGGAATCGCCTGCTAGTTGAATGATAGCCATGAGAAGATCGCCAAGCATCAAGCAAGCGACATGATGAGTCTGGCATCGCCAGTGCAAAACGTGATGAGACGCTGGTAACAGCCAACCAGCAGCCAGGGTTGCTGCCAAGAACACTGCACTGATGATAAAGCCCATGGGATAGAGCGTGAACCTGATGTCTGTTGCTTGCACGTGTGGCCTGAAAACAATGCACACGCATATATTTCTCTATATATACTATACACATACATTCGATTAGGTAAAACCTAACCACCAACCCTCGACACCCTTTTCAAATTATACATCATTCAATCATTCGTATAAATAATATTACATTAAAAAAAATATACAATTGATTAGAGTGTTAAGTTTAGACGAGTTTAACTTAACGTTTGGTAATAAAGAAAAAAAAATAATAATTTCATTCTCAAATTTTTGCCTTAACCGAAGACAAATTATCCCGACTACTTTCTTCGTTGAGCTTTTTCTAACGCGGCTCCTAGTTTAATTAAACTCGAAGTAACTTTATCTCTCGGTATCAGCGACCGATCGATTGGCCGCGTGCCAGTATGGCATGCCAGCGAGTTATTCCATCGATCTTTTATGCTGAGGGATCGCTTTCTCTCTCACTCATTCCCTCCCATACACATACATGTGCACGTAGGTACATACGTACGTACGTACGTTCACTCTTTATCCATCTATCTCTTTTGCACGCTCGCAAGTTCCTCGTTCCATCGAAACGTATACGAATAATGCACCGTAATACTTCATCGCGTTTCGTCCAAACGCATGCCTGATTAAATTTCGCCCTTCGCCCTTTGCCCTTTTGCCCTCTTTCTCTTCCTCCTCCTTCTCCTCCTATCATTCTCCCCACCATTCCTATCTATGATTCTTCATGGTAAATTCTCATTCCCTTCGAAAAAGAAATCAAAAAGTAATACAACCTTTTAGACTGGGCTCGTTTTCCTGACTTCGAATTATCGATACAAATATTTACCAATGATATTACCACATTTTTTAATCATAAGTAAATTTGAAAAAAGAAAATTGTATGTACGTTTATTTAAGAGATTTAAATTGAAATAATTATATTTAGAAATGTAAAAAAGAAGTACTGAATAAATTCTTTTAGAAAAATAAAATTACTCGTTCGAATGAATCATTTTCCAAGTACGAATGTCATCATTCGAACGTCTTCTCGCATAGCGAAAGACAAATATTTTTCTATAATATTTTATATAATATGATTATTATGAAGTTATGTATATATATACAGGGTGTTCAAAAAAACCATTAAATATTTATATTGTATATAGAATACATTGTACTGATGCGAGTAATAAAGTTTTAATAGACAAAAGTTAATCTTTTTCTGAGATATAAACATTTTTAATTGTTATTATCATAAATGCCTTACTATTGAATTTTTTAACTTTAAAGAAAATTCATTTGTCCATTTTTCATTTCCACACACGCTTGACATCGTCTTTTTATCAAATCGGGAATTCTATTGAAAATTCCACATTTCTGTAGAATTGTTTGACAAAGATGGTGGATAATGCGCTGACATTTTAACGATATTTTGTAACTGTGTAATATCTACAACCGCCGATCCACAACTGACTAATTCTCAATGAAATCTACTTTCGATACTAGAACAAGAACATTTACAACGCGGTTTAAAAACACTATAATTAACATTGCATGCAATAGAAGCAAGTAAATCAATTATGATACTAGCAAACAAAAATATTTATATCTCAGAAACGGTTGACTTTTCGGATCTATGTTAACTAAAGCTTTTCATTGTTAGTACAGTAAAGTCCTATATATCATATAAATATTAGTTTATATATATATATATATATATATATATATATATATATAATTAAATAATATTATATAAATAATAATATATATATTCATAACTTCTACGTCCGAAAATAATATCTATGAATTATTAAGAAATAAATTAATTTTTATATATATACATATTAACAATTTCGAAGAAAATAATATTGAAATTAATGTAAAAGAACAGGCAGAGAAAAAAGACATAAGCAGACAGTTACACAGGATATACGTACACAGATGTACGCACGCACACACACACATCAACAAAAAGAGAAAGTTAGGAAAGAGGTTGTTGAGAGAAGAGAAAACGTTTTGAAAAGATTCTTCGATAATTCGGCCATAAAAACGTGTCGGAGAACGTAGCATAGAAGAAGAGTCTTTAAATTTCCATTTATTATCTGGAAAAGGACGATATAGGTATCTGAAGCGATAAAGAAAAAAAAGGGGGGAAAAGAAGGTAAATGTAAAGCAGGGGCGGAACTACAATACCGTAAGACTCCGTCGTCACGAGGGACGGGACGGAGGACCGATAAGTTATGCATTTTATTATTTTCTTAATTTTAATCAAATCGTCCCTAATTTAAATTAGATTAAAAGCACACTGAAAAAAAAAAAAGAAAAAAAAAGGTTTATTGAATTTGCAAAAATTCTTTCTAAAAAGAATTTACAAGAGAATTTGTATCTTATAAAAATTGTTGATTTTAAAACATTAAATATCAATATAAATATATATATATATATTCTTTATACAATATAATATAACTTGTTTTTGTTTAGTCTGTTATAAATTTTCTTTCTTTATACAATATAAATTTTTTTATAATATAAGATTTGTTACGATTCCCTATCCCTAAAAAGCATAAAATATAATCTGAATTTTATAAAAATATTGACAAAAAAAATTATTTATTTTAAAACATTAAATATCAATATACTAATATAAGATCCTAAAAGTATATTTTACAGGATGGTCGAAATTTGTATTTCCTTTATTGATGTAAAAAGAAATGTAAAGAAAAAAAAAAAGAAAAAAAGAGAAGAAAGAAATATAGAAAGAAAGAAAGTCTGGACCACGGAATTTCCAACATGGGAATAATATTTATGCGGATTGGAGGTTTCGCGTTACTTCAGAATGACGGTGTGCTGCAAGCACAGCATCTGCGTTTCGCGATCGCAAATAAGGGTATAACGTATGCATGCTTTTTCAAAGAGACTACTCGTTCAAAGGGGAAACGGAAATCGATCGATAATCGAACCTCTTCACGTACATATCAACGAGGTATTTCCACTCTCTTTATCTCTTTCTCTCTATCTTTTCCAACTATTCGATGGTAGTAAACAAAATGAGCACATATACTCGCCATATATATCATTTTCTCAAGTTACTCTCGTTTATCACCTTTTTACCTCAATTAAAACGTACCGATATATGTTTAATTAATTGCTACGAATGCGTTCGAAAAATTCATTGACTTTGATCAACTATTTGTTTTTCCCCGTTTCATTTTCTCTTCTTTCTTTCTCTTCTTTTTTTCTTTCTTTTCTTTTTTAAATGTTATTTTAAAATATAATAAATAAATTATCACACCAAAAAGGAATAAATAGAAACTAATTACGTCGACTACACTTTTAAAACTTTGTGGTTTGTACGATTATCTCATTCACTCCGGTTACACATCCTTTCTAGTTACGTTATTTTTTTTTTCTTTTCTATTCTCTTGAAGGAAAAAATCTAAAGTTCGCACGTTCCAAATGATAATACAATATTTTACGCGGAAATGTTACGGTTGTTGATAAAAATCTTAAAAGAAAGAGAAAGAGAGGAAAAGAGATTGTCTGTAATTAATATTATTGTATATTGGAGAACACGATACGACCGATCGAATTCACGTTTTATAATCAATCATTCGATATAGAAATGTGCTTTGGAAAGTATATAAATAAAATTTTACGGGAGATTAATAAATTGAATAAAAAGAAAAAAAATATATCCACGATCGCCAACAATTCTTTGCAATTAAGCCAACAGTATTTTCAATGAAACGATGTTTCGTGTATTTTTGCATGACGCGTTGTGTCTGAATAAATAACGGAATGAAAAAAAATATCTTTTCTTTCTCTCTCTCTCTTTCTCTTACAAAACTTTGTAAAACAGTTAGTGGAAATTTAGTCATGCAACGTTTCACTCTTCGTTTAGTTCGTTCATTTCGTTCGTGTTTAGTTTCGAAGATGTTTCATGCATCATCAAAAACTATGTCAAATTCTATAATTTTCTATTTTAATCAATAATCGGTATGGTGAATTTTACTAACATCACCATGGATAGATTTAGAACGTTATAGTTATTTAAAAAAAATATATATATAAAAAAATATATTAATACTCTTAAAAGTTTTTTAGAATATCATCTTCTAGATATTCTATATTTCTAGAATTATATACATGGGGCCTCCATTCCATGCCAAATATATCTACCGAATGAATTTGCATCTGCGATTCCACTAAAAATTTTATATGTTGTTGAGTTCGGCAAAAAACGTAATGAATTTTTTTTTTTCAAATTTTTACGACCGCTCTGTTTTGAAAGATGAATTTGTTTCGAAATTTGACGTATTTCTATTTTTTCTTTTTAATATATAATACATTATTTAAAATTTTCAACGGAATCGTAGATGCAAATTCATTTGGCAGATAAATTTGGCATAGAATATCCTATACGTAGAAAATTTATTTTGTTATATTTACAATTTGAATTTAAAATAAAAATAGTAATAGAAACATGGTACAAAAGCCTAAAAGATCTATGGTGTCGATGTAAGGTTATAATATCCATGAAGAAAGATGACTGACTATTCAGTTATAGAAAAAGAGAAGATTGCCTTAAGCCTAGTGAGTAGAAATTCTACATTTCTTTCTAACAGGCAAACAAGATTACTCAACTGTTTGGTATTTTACGAGGAATAGTTGAATCTCTTCGTATTGTCTAAAAAAAGAGTTATAAAAATAAAAACCCATTGAAAAAAAAATAAATAAAAAATAATAAAAAAGGAGAAATGGAGAAAGAGAGAAAGAAAGGTGAAAAAAAATAATAATAAAAAAGGGAAATGGAGAAAGAGAGAAAGAAAGGTGAAAAAAAAGATAAAAGTAAGGAAGAAGCTAAGCACTCTCACCTTTGAGGTGCGTGTTCGGAACAGGCAAAGACCTTGACCGCCTGGTTGAGTTCCTTGATCTTCTCAACGCAAAACTGGCCGCTCGGTAAAATAACACCGTCAACTTTCATGCTACCGTCAGGCTGCAATACGGCATCTTTTACATCAGCCAAGATCGTGTATTTGTCTCCTCGAGGACAAGCCGGAAATCCTGATATTATATCCACCATTCCTGATGACTCTCCCAATAACGGTGCCGTGTCTTCCGACTCGTTTATAAAGCTGCATGATTCTCTATAAAAATAACAATAGATATATATTAATCATAATATATTAATCAAACCTAGGTTATTTAAAAATTTATATAAGTGTTATGCGGTTAATGGAATTTGTTTTAATTCGATAGAAGTTATTGTATTTAAAAAAATTTGTTTACATTCGAGTTTAGAAATGTTATAAAAAGAAAATGTTGCCCTTATACAAACAATAAAAAATAGAAAAAAGTAAACGGTATTTCATAGTAGAAATACACAATATCTAATTGCAAGTATAATGAGCTTTAATTACTTTCACAACTTCCGTACGTTAGAAATGTTTTTCTCTAAAACCAACAAACCTTTTTCGATAGAATTCGAATTGTGGGAACGTTACGATTTCGTAAACGTAATAACAACGTGTGCGTTACGAAAATAGATATCGAAATGTATCTTGATAATAATCAAAGTAAAAAAAATATCGAAGAAGGAGAAGAGAAAAAAATGAGAGGGGAGAAATTATTTACATTCCTTTTCTCCGTCAAGTTTTACTTTAAAGACGTTCTATAAGAACAGAACAAAAGAAATGTAAACAATGTGCTCGTGAAGGTGTTACAATGTGGAACACGTAGCTTGACACGAGAAAGAAAATAATAATTATTTACTGTCTTTCGAAATATCTAAGCAAAGAAAATAATACGAATCGACGAAAAACAGAATAAACTGTGAAAATATAAATGTTGCTTAGGTCTTTTACAAGCGATCTGCTTCGTTTGATAAAAGTGAATATAAACATTGAAATTTACCTTATAGATGGATGTAATTTATCTTATATATATATATATTATTTAAATATAATATTAGCTCAATTTTCGTTTAACCTCAAAATATTTTTTTCTAATTTTTTTTTTTTTTTCAAATCATATTCATATATCAGGGGCGAAACTACGAGATCCTGCAACGCGGCTGGTGGGGCAAAATTTTTACATTTATAATTTTGTTATTTTATTTAAATTATCCTTAATTTAAATTAGATTACAAAAACAAACGTTTATTTAATTTATAAAATTCCCTTTTCTAAAAAAGCATTAAAAAAAAATAATCTCACAATCAATCTTATAAAAATATCGAAAGAAAAATTGTACATTTAAAAACATTCAATACCAATGTTAATATTGTTTATATAATATAATATAAGGGTAGGGGCCCAAACATATGTAGTTCCGCCACTGCTATATACATATATACTCTCTCTCTCTCTATATATATATATATATATATATATATTTTTTTTTTTTTTCAAGCATTATCGGCTATAAAAAATTGGAAATAAATGTATAATTAAAAATAAAATATAAAGAAAGATATACGAAAGTAATACGAACTTTTCCTCATGAAAAACTGCAGATTTTCCACAACAGCGTCTAATCTTTGGTTTCATGGTAGCAGCTGCATGATTACCTTCTGGAGTTTTTTTAACGCAAACCAGGATAGCATTTGGATCGGCACAATAATCGGAAGGTGCGATCGGTTCTTCGACATTTCCATCGACAATGGCAAAGCCATCTTCGAGATAAATAAAAGGTAGAGAGGGTCTCGAAACTATACTAGTCAAAATAGAATCTTCTCGACATTCGGGTCTCCTACCCTCCAAGACATTCCAGCCGTCTAACGGCTTGTTAAACTGTTTTCGTAAGGACGGCGAATAGATGTTGGGTTTCCAATCTGTCGTACTTTTCTCACAATCGTTGCTAACCTTATTAATGCCATTCTCAACCGTTACTTTTAATTCCTGACCGTGTGGACAACACTTCAATATCGGGATACGTGTAACGGTCGCATCGTTCGGTTCGCAAAATATCGACGAAAATGTTATTACAAATAAAAACAAATAATTATTAATTTTATTCATATTGTAATTAATTTTTTATTCGCTTATTCGTACAATTAACCCTTTGGTAAAGTCACAGAAAAAAAAGCGCGGGAAGTGAAAATCAAGCAAAATAATTCATATTTCACTAATACACTATTATCCCGTGCCAACGATTTATCTTTAAATGTAGCGTTATTAGATAATATCAGTCTTATTTTAAAGACAAATAGTACGTTAAACCAATGTAAACAATGTACGAGATTATCGAATTCCTTTCCGAAGGAAAAAAACACACCCTACACGTTGGAAGGTTACGCAGTCACTGAAGCTGGTAAACCATGCGACTCGGCAGCGTGTTCGATAGCTGCGCGCGCATCCCCCACTACTCTTGTCCTTATTCGTGAGCGCCTTCCCACTATTTCTCTCTCTTTTATTCTCCCTCTTTCTCTCTTTCTCTAATACACCTCTCACCTACCACACCTTCGACCTTCGACCTTCGCATTCGTTTCCCTCTCCCCCTCTCCTTACCAATCTCCCTCCACTCTTCTTCATACCTTTCTTAAGTACTTCAACACCCTAGGTCCAGGACAAGTTTCCTTTTTCTACCGGAAATGCAACGGTATCATGCGTGCATATTACATACTTTCTCTACACCTTGCACACTCTTATGTTTCCCCATGGGATTTATTTTATTTGGCTTTTTACATTCCAGGAAATATGTTATAACAAATTTTTTTATTTTATAATAAATCTTTTAATTACGGTGTTTATTAATTATTTCTCAACAATATTTGATCAATATATTTGTTTATATTTGAATTTAACTTATGGTTATGGATTTAAATTACATATAACATTTATACACTGTTAGGTGTATTTGATTTCACTTTTCGTAGGAAATTAGATACTTCAATATGTTTAACAATTATGATACTGATTAAAATTAAGTAGTATTTAGTAAATATTGGAAATTATTAAATAAGTTTGATGTTCTCAATTAAATTTTTAATGTCAGGAAAATTTAGTTATTATTTTGAATAATTGACAATATTAATTATTAATAATCATAAATTATAAACAAAACTAGTAAAATTAATTTACAATGACAAATGAAATATAGCAACGTCGAAACATCATTTGTTATTTAATATTATTAATCAATAATTTCAACATCAAAGGATAAATTCAATACAAATTTATAATAATATGCATATGTAATACATGTAATTACAAAGATGATTAATCCGTCTTTCGAGAATCTCATTCGACGTGAACGGAAGAACGCGTGACTAAGCAGAGATCCTGAAAGAAAATTCTTTGAAGTAAATTCAGTCTTGCGAGAAAGAACCTCGTCAAAATATACATTTATGGCCTTGGATCGACCATCCGGTTATATTATTGATAAAAGAAACATTCTTATTAACAGAGTTAAATTAATAAACAATTCGCCAATTTGCTATAAGAATAATTAAATTTTCTAACGTGAACTTCCTTGAAATCGATCACCCAGTTATTGATTTAATAGAACGATCTAATCATCATTTCTACTAAACGTCCAATAAAACAAATTTCAAGGTAAAAAGAGAGAGAGAGATAGTTAAAAGGAGTAAACAACACGATTCGTTTGCGAATGAGAGTGGAGAATATTTTGCGAAGCTTTTTCAAAATAGCATCCACCAACGCTTAATATTCGCTTACAAAACGTTTCCGTTCTCTCTCTCTCTCTCTCTCTCTCGTACGTGTTTCTTTTTTTGTTTTAATATTTTTGTTTCCATAAAAAAAAAAGAAATTTTCAAACGACTCTGTAACGTTTCTATGTGGGTGTAAAACTCTTCAGAATAGCTTGTTTTTTTCTGTTTTATATATTTTATATTTTATATTTTAGAACGTATATGCAGAAACGAAAGAAACTTCAGGAAAAAGCCTATATGTATCTCTAACGTAATCGTTTTATTCTCTCTCTCTCTTTCTCCATTAACTTTTGAAAAAAATAATAAAACAAGGATTAAATTTTGAATCAGTCGTTTTGTTAAATCACCATATTACGATAATGGATAATAGTTAAGAGAAAGTAACTTCTATCTCTTTCGACAAAGTGTTCGCTGACTCGAAAACATCGTTTTTCTAACTCGAGCGGAAACCGCTTGGAAAGTTTGGCGAGTGTGTAAGGGTACCAGGACTATACCAATTAAGCTTCCTCGTCGTTTTGCAACCGACGCAAATTGGAGATTTATGACTGGACAATGTATTGCAAGGCCCTACAGAGAGTCCCTTTTCATGGTATTTTACGTGAACAAAGGAGAGTCCTCTCGGATGATTAAAATCTATGCTCGTCGCGACACTCTTTTTCAAAATAACTTTTACGAATATCCTACGAAGACCCTAGGATAGATAAATCAGTATTCCTGAAAAAGAAATAAACAGAAAAAAAATAATGTCTGGAAAAACATAGATATTCGTTGTTAAAAAATATTTTGTTACTAATGTCCAAAGTTCTAACTTTGATAATAATTGGAAAGATAAAACAAGGGTGAGAGTAGTCGATAGAGCTAACCATAAATCACGAAACTCATGCGTGTACTCGCATACGCATCTCGCGAACGTACGTTTGTTAATAGGTTTGCACGTGCATGTCCCTAACGTAATGCCGATTTTATCTACCCTCCTCGCAGGCCACGCAGGATTCATCGGACAAAGGATAAAGACCAGACAGTTTGATCCGCGTTGATCGAAAATACGAAATAAAATTTCATAATCGATCGAATTACTAGATACGTAATCCTTCTTTTTGTGTTACAACATAATGATCTTTTAAATCAAAAATATATTAAATCTTTTATAGTTTTGAAAATGATTAGAACAAAAAAATTACAATTCGAAATTCAATTTAAAAAAAGATCAGTATAAATTGAGAATAATAAATTTATATCGATCGATAAATCAAATTTACCCAACCACCAGTACCACCCTCTCCTACCCCTTTTTTTATGTATTTTAAACCGAAAACTTTTTTGCACAGATACATCAAATATATCAACAAGGGAAGGAAAAATATTAGAAGAACGACGTGAGAAAATGATAGGACAGACGATAAGAACTTTCTCGATTCCTACGTGATCCCATAAAAATCGTTCCTCCTGCTTATCTTCGAACAGGAATATACCACGAAGCTAATCTCAAAGATCCATAAATATATGATGTCCCATTTTCAATGGGTTGAAAGAAAAAAAGAAAAGAAAGGAATAAAATAGAACTAGAGAATCGATGAAAACGGAAGAAGAAGTGTTGGAATTATTGGAGGAAATGAACACGAGCTTGTTGAAAGTATAACTCAAGTAAGATCTAAAACTTTGTTAAAGGATAATACTTATATGAGTTCACCTCGAAAAACCGCCGTCGTGCAATACTTTGCAAAATCGCAACAATGTCGTCATCGTCGTCGTCTTATCGAACACTCATATCCATATTATGCATTCTGTCGCGTGCAGTTAAACGCATCTAAGCGAACGTGTGCAATGTGCTTTGCCTGCTACCACCATCGAGCCTCTCATCTCTCTTTCTTCCCTTTTTCGTTTTTCCTTCTTTTACTCGGGAACCTTTTGTTACAGCAATTTGCCTTATCTTTAACCCGTCATTTTCGAAATCTTCGTGTTTTCCCTACAAGAAAGAGAAAAAAAACTGAAATCACAACAACGTTCTAGACACGCGTGCCGAAAGATAATTCTATCGAATTTTTTTTTACCTAAATATCGATAAGACGTATCGTTCGAGTATCTCTCCAAATTTTTATTAGATCCAAACTCATCCAAAATTTAAACCAAATATTTTTCTATCTTTCAACATTTTTGATAATATTGAATTTAAAAAAATAAAAATATTAATGACTATAAATAAAAGAAACTTACTCTACGATAATCTAAATTCCAAATGATCGAGATTGATTTCTTATCAATTAAATTCTTTTGTAATTTGAGACCCTTTTTCTCGATTAATCGACGATTTAATCGTCAATTGTCTTCGTCACGCAAGCGAGCTTTAAATAGCAATATTTCTAATTATATTATAATAGAAATTTCATCAACGCCACAGAGATGATTGATCATTAACTCTATGGTGGTTGACGCTGTGATTGGAATGGTGTTAACGATCCGCTCGTGTAAGTAATTATCCAACATTCGATCATCAATAATAACGCTATAATAAAATATCATTATTTTTGTTTGTTTGTTTAAAACACCAATAAATTTGTCATTCATATTCATATAAAAATTATATTAAAAAATACAAAATACATAACATGATATATCTTTAATAACGAGCATAAAAAGAAATCCTAATATACTCCATTGAACTTTTATTTCCGTTATTAGTCATGTCTTCAAAAGGAGAGATGGAAAAAGTATGCATTGGATGAGAATAAGCTTCCTCCCTCTCTCTCTCTCTCTTTCTCTTTGTAAACKCAATTTTCAAACTCGCGTTGGATAAGGGCAGGCCTTCTCTCGAAGCACTACCACCAGCACTACCCTCGTCACTTTGATATCGATGAGGGTAATTTACGCGAACATTGTTGGTGAAGAAGATTGATGCGTTGGGTGCGTGCGAGAGGACAGAGAGAGGGTGGCTACTAGTGGGAGAACTCTCTGTCTCTGTTGTGATGAATTGCATTTCGACACCCTCTCTCCCTGACACCTCCACCCCCACCCCCATACCTCCACCTCTACTTCCACCTCACCCACTTCTCCAAGTACTGGACGATTGTCCTATGAGACTGCCCCGTCATTCGACGCATTACTGCATACTCCATCCCTTTAACTCTCTCTCTCTCTCTTTCTCTTTTCGACGTTGTACACTCTCAACGTATACCACCCTCTCTTGTCACCCTTCTTGTATACCCCCGGAAGTAGTGACATCGATAAACGACGCCTTTCACTCGTTATGACGGGAAAATCGACGACCCGAATAACGCGTTTCGAATGAACTCCTCCTCTCCGCTTCAAATGGCAACCGTTCTAACCGGAAATCATCCTGTTTGATTCCTTCTTCTTACCCCCTGATCGTTACTTCTTAAACCCTCCATTTCTTCCCTAACTCGTATTCTGCTGTCTCAGCAATTATCTACAACAAAAATATATAAAGTAGTATACTCTGGGGAAGAATAATAGCAATATTTTCTTTTTCAACAAACTTGGCATAATAATCGATCCGCATATAATCCAATTAGAAATAAGATATACGTGAACAATGAAATAAAAAGTCGATTTTTTATGTATAATATATATACTAGGATACTCCGGCCACGTG